TTCACATGCAAAGCATGCTTCCTTGCTCCCAGAACAGCTCAGGCACCAGGAGAATGACACTCTTCACCTGCTCCCTTGTCCAAGGCACAGAGACTACGCTGCCTCCATCTCATCATCCTCACCACAGGCCTCTGTGCCCCAGCCCTTCAGACACAGACCCACTCTGAGGATCTGATTCCTCTCATTCCCCTTGGGGGAGATGCTGCAGGGTAGGTGTCGAGGAGCCCTAGCAGATGGAAGAGCCTAAGAATCTGTTACTCTTTCTCTCACCGCCCTTCTGACCCCATCTCCTGGAGAAATGTCCAGTATTGCTAATTCCTAAGCTCAACTCAGTCATCAACTCACTTTCTGGCTTATGCAACTTCTCTCTCCAAAGTGACCAATGACCTCCTGGGTCCTGTGTCCAGCTGTGCTGTCCCAGATAGACGGTTCCACTGTTCCTGGTACCTGTGATCCACACTCCTGCTCAGTACTTTCATGGATTTACCACCCAGACTTCTATCTTAGATGGTGTGGTCCCTTGGCCCTGTAGCCCTTAATGGTCCGCAGAAAGATTTGGTTCTAAGATTTCTAGCAGTTGACGCAAATGGAAAACTGGGCCGCTACACGATTAGTGGCCATTCTAGACAAAAATAACCTAGGTTTTCAGAAGTACAGCTATTCTTAGTACCAAGACAAGAAAGAAAAAATTCCCAGGGGTCTTGGTAATGCATGGTGTCTTTATGACATCCTACACTGGACACTGGGCTGGTGGGACTGCTCGTTAGGAAGATTCCTCATCCACGCTGACGGTATTGCTCTCAAGCTCAATCTTGTGAAATCATTCTAAGGCAGGGAAAACAACACATATGCTGGCTACCTTGATCCTGGAGTACATTTTCAAGTATGAGGAAAAACATATAGACTGCTGCCCTTCAAAGCAAGCCCCGTGCCAAGCACTAGTGGAAAATCAAGTGGAGAGGAGTCCAGTGACTCTCCCCACCTAGAAGTACCACGAACACCTGAACACAAACCTAGAACTTCCCATTTGAGTGTCTAAGTATTGGGGGAGAGCCATGGAGCTGGGCTCTGGGGTTCAATGGCAACAATACGGTCAGCTACTCCGAGGACCAGGTTCACTCTGGTCTCAACAGCCGCCATTCCAACTGAATCTGTTTTGTCTCATGAGCATTCCAGAGCCAGTCTGGAGCCTTCTAATGCCCACCAAGGCTGCCTAGACAATAGTGGAGAAATTGGCATCACTTCAATGGCATTTTATACAAGACAGCAACTGCATGTTTTCTGAAGGGCCTTCTAAAATCCTAAACAGAGAAAAGTAGCAGGAATGGCCTCCCAGGGAGCTGAAACTCCTGGGTCTGGCTCCTTCAACATTGCACCCCCTATACCATATTCACATCTGTAGTACAGAGGTGGTACCAGGCAGCCATTGCATCCTGAGGAAAAGCTACAGGAACAATCTAGGGGAGTGAGACAGCCATGCATTACTGCCCTGGGAAAAAGCAGTCTATCCATTAAGTTGGGAAACATATAAGTGAGGCACAGAGAGGAGGTCCAGGGTGGACTTCGGTTCATCAATGCAAAGTCTGTGCTGGAGTTCTGGGTCATGGAGCTGGGAAGACATGGAAGCCTCATCCTACCACCAGGCATCCATAGCTTTGCCCAGTGAAGAAAAGCCTTTCCCATCTCCCTCCTGAGTCCTAGCCTTGTCCCCAAGATCTTGGGCATGTCTCTAGAAAGCAGCAAGGTCTTGGACCATCCTAACATCCCACTCTGAGAGTGCAGCCTCCTCAGCCTGCCCTGCTGAGAGAGAGAGGGATACCTTTCTCTCTTGGCCTCTGTCTCCTAAAGAATGGCTGAGGGAATCCATTCACGCTTGCCATGCCCAGCAAGTGGTGGGGAGGATTCTCTGGGTGCAGCGCAAAGGCATGATTGATATCACTGGGGCTCCTCCGAGCCTTGCCTACTCATAGCTGGGACTCCCAGTGCAGACAGTCCCTCTGTCCCGACTTCTCAGCTTTGACCCCCACCCAGTGGCGGTATGGGGAACTGCAGATCTGCCCAACTTCCCACCACCTTTGTGTGGCTACTGAGAGCTCACTAGCCCCGCTGTTGTTTCAACTTCCCCTCCAACTCTCAACCTGGTACAAGCACCAGGTCGTCAGCTGTCCCCGGGCATTCCTGTCAAGCCCTGCCACCTCCCGCCACATTGCACACCAGTCCAAAGTATGAGTCTGGACTCTTGACAGGTTTATAAAATGCATTCTGTTTTAGCTCCCAATAAATGAATAGTCTCAACAAAGTTGAATGTCTGTAATAAAGCACTCCTCCTTTGACTTTCCGTATCCAATCCTAGTGCTTTCTTCAGAGGCAGCCACTGGCAGCCTGGTGCACACCCTTGTTAAAAAATGGTTGTCACTGGCTCTGATAGTGACTTTATTATAAGGGAACAAAACATGCCTAGTCCTGTGCCATCTTCATGATTGCTGGCACTTGGACAATGGGATCCGTATGGTTTCCCTGAGCTGAGTTTTGGGAATAGATCACTAGGCAATTCTTCCTTCTACTAGGGTGCTTGTTGTTAAGTACCATCGAGCCAGTTCAGACTCACAGGGACCCTATATAGGGTTTCCAAGGAGCAGCTGTGGTTCAAACCAACCTAGTGGTCCAGTGCTTTATCCTACAGCATCACACCACGACTCCACTAGGGTGCTGTGAAGTGCCATCGAGTCGGTTCCGACCCATAGCGACCCTGTATAGGGTTTCCAAGGAGCAGCTGGTGAACTTGAACCACCGACAGTTCAAATGGCTTTGTAGCCTGGCGCATTAACCCACAATGCCACACCAGGGCTCCACTAGGGAGCTAGCCCACTTCAAATTCACACAAGATCTGCTCAGTTGGCTCAATAGTTGAGCAGCTCATTTTCTCCTGAAAACATGTGTACACAGAGACAGGGCTGGGTTGGGTGGGGGTGTCTGGTGTTTCTGGTCCTAGGCTTCTGTCTGGAGACTCTAGGTGTGGGGCACCTCACTATCTGACTGAGGTAGAAGCCCCCTGACCATTCCTGGCTTCTAAATCAGTGGCACAATATAATAAAGAAACCTTTATTATATTTCTGCTCTCACCGAGGTCCTGGGACCTCTGCTACCTGGAGGTCAGGGACTGGCTGCAGGCTTCAACTCAGGACACATGCCACCCCAGCCCTGACTCTGTGCCTTGCAGGGGACATGCCTGCTCCCTGCACCCTTCCTGCTGGCTCTCCCCGATCTCCAGACATGGCGTCTCATTTACTCCTTTCTGCCCTCAGAAACATCCCTGTTATTAACTGATTCCCCATGCTATGTCCATGTATTGCTCTCACCCCAACTGATAATGCAGTTTAGAGCCAGACCTCTCTGCTATGAACTGACTCTCTGGTCTGCAACACATGCACATGGTACCATTTTTAAAGAAATGGGATGCCCTAGTGGAGGTCCTGCTGTGGCATTGTAGGAAAAGCACTGGACCACAAGGTCGGTTTGAACCTCAAGGTCAGTGGTTCAAACTCACCTGTTACTCCTCGTCACTGACTCAACGGCATTTAACAATAACAAGTGGAAGCCAGGACCAATGTTCTCTCCTTGTAGATGTGGTACCTGAAGAAACACTCGAGGGTCTCAGAGCGTCCGTCAGTAAACAAGTGCTGCACAGAGCATGATAACTGTGCTGGGAGGATGCAGGTCCCTCTCACAGGCTTTGCATGTGGGATCCCCACCCACATTCACCCAGTCACCTGCCATGAGAGCCACGGGGCCGCAGGACATACCTCAATCAGGTTGTAGGCTGTATGCTTATAAGCAGAGAAACAGTCAGCCACAGGAATGATCGTAGGTACTAGGAACATGCCCATATCACCAAAAAAATGAAAAGGAGCCCCACCCTAACCCCCACCAGATTCCCTTTCCTTATAAGTCATAAGGACTGAGAAAGTTTACTCATCTTTTAGGCCGGGTATTTCTGGGCGATGCAAACCAAAAAGTTGGAAGTTCAAGTCCACCCAGAGGTACCTCAGAAGAAAGGTCTGGTGATCTACTGAAAATCATCCTTTGAAAACTCTATGGAGTACAGTTCTGCTCTGACACATGACGCCAGGAGTCTGTCTACTGGGCAGCAACTGGATGGCCCAAACCAGGAGGGTCTTTTTGACCACAAATATAACCTGGAATATAGCACCAAATCTCTCAGGTTGAGAACAGATGTGTTTTCCAAATCGTTGCTTTTCTTAAGAGGGACACTTAACTCAGTAGAGAGAACTGGGAAAAGCAGGGCGAGGTATGGAACATCAGGAATGGAGCTTGTGAACCCCATTTACTTTACCTTGTACATCTCATGTTATCAGTTTTGCCCAACTGAGACCATTTTATACTCACATCGCAGACACTCAGAAGCCTTAGGAACTCCTTAAATGTATGCATTGCCTACCATTATTCCTTCTCCATCCCATCAACTCTACGTTTGTTCCCTGATGCTCAGGCTCCAACAGACAACGTCAGTATTCACTAGAAGAGGCTACACTCCAACCCAAGTACCAAACCACAGGGAGCGGTGGAACACGTCAGCAGATGTGATCTAAGTCTAGGTCCTTTGGCCCAGATAAGTGGGCCTCCCCTTAGCTTCACAGCACTATTGCTTTTCAGAGATGGCTGAGAGCATGGAACTCCCTTGGTTGTCCTTACCAGTCACCTTGTGCATCTCATGTGGTATTTATGATGACCCCATGGGGTCAGGCCATACCAGATGGATAGCTACTAATAGGAGGTCAATGCAGGAGAAAACCGACAGGTGTAATCCGTGTTCTGAAGGGTTTTGTCCTCAGGGGAGACAGAAACAGATTCATGTACCCACTACCCAGTCACCGACATCGCCACCAGCTCCAGACCTCATAGGTCCACTGGCCACCAGTCCCATGCAGAGAAGCCCAGGCAGTCCAGAACCCATCTCAAACAATAGCATTAATGCTTACTTTTTCTGGAGCGGGAAAAGAACCGGATGCCCCCTGGAGAGGTAGAGGGGTTGGAGCTCGGGGATGACTCCTTGGACGAGGAACGGAAGATGCCGCTGAAGCTCATGCGGCGTGGGGAACGTGGAGGTGACTCTTGGTAGGAGAACGGGAACACTGTTCTAGGAGAGCCAGGGCTGGTCTTGGGTCTCACAGGAGCAGACACGGGGCTGGAAGGCTGGTGCTGGGGGCCTCTGGAGAAGAAGCCCTTGGAGGGGCTGCCCACACTGAAAGGGCTGTCCACCTGTAGAGACAGACAAGCAGAGGCACTCCAAGTTCTGTCTTCCTGGACCTGCCATCGTCACACCAGACAGCCCAATGCCCCCTAGGTGAGTCACCCCTGGGCAGGACAGAGGGGGATAAGGATGACCTGTTAGTAGGCTGGCCAGTCCACCCTGTCTGAGAGGGCTGGGCAGTGGTACCAGGCCTATAGAGGAGTCCCAGGGAAGTAGGGGGGAGAAAGGGGAAAAACTTGAGTGGGAACAGGTGGCTCAAAACCATGCATCTTATCCCTTTAATCCTTTTGGATTGCCTTCTGACCTTTACTTCTCACGACCTTACTTTGGTCCTTTTCAAACTGTGGATCACTACGTTGGAATACTGCTCTTCTACCGCACCTCAAGGAGTCCTGGTGTGGCACTGTGGGTTAATGCGCCAGACTGCAAAGCCGTTTGAACTGCAAGGTCGGCAGTTCAAGCTCACCAGCTGCTCCTTGGAAATTCTATGCAGGGTCACTATGGGTCAGAATGGACTCGACAGCACTTAACAATAACAACAACTGCACCTCAAAGTAAGAGGCACACATCTCCATGATCTGGAAGGGAGCAAGTCTACAGCTCCATCCCCAGGGACGCTGGCTCAGGCAATCATGAGGTTTCCTCCCTGTGGTTCGGGTCCCAGCTAAGAAGAATTCTGTTCAAGGTCAGGACGAAACCAGCAGGATGAAACCTTGGACTTTCACTTCTATGATTACATACAACTGCAGCTACAAGGCCTGCATTAAAAAAATTATTAGAAACCCTAATTTTTTCTCATTTAGAAAGTTATTATGGTTAAATATATATAAAACATTTGCCATTTTAGTCAGTTTTAACTGTACATAATATGAATGATATTCACCATGTTGTGCAACCATCAACACTTTCTATTTCCAAAAGTTTTTCATCACCCCAAGCAGAAACCCCGGGCCCATTAAGCAATACTCCCATTTTTTCTTCCCCTACCGCTGACAACCACTAGTTAACTTTGGTATCTATGCATTAGACTATTCTAGGTGTTTCATATGTTGTTTTTTAATGTTTTCAAGTTGGTTCTGACTCATAGTGAGGATTTCTGAGGCTTTTAAAATCTCTGCAGGAACAGAAAGTCTCATCTTTCTCCTGTGGAGCAGCTGGTGGGCTCAAACTGCCGACTTGTGGGGTGGGGTTCACAGGCCAGTGCTCATCTTATGGAGCCACCTTGCTCCCACACTGCATATAAGTAGAATACATTTGTCCTTTTGTGACTGATTTATTCACTCAGCATTATGTATTCAAGGTATCATCCATATTGTAACAAGTGACAGAACTTCATTTCTCTTTATGGCTGGGTAATAGTTCTTTACATGAATACCCAACATTTTGTTGATCTGCTCACCTGCTGATGGACATTTACATTTCTACCTTTGGCTGTTGTGAACAGTGTTTCATTGACCATTGATGTATAAGTAGTGTTTGAATCTTTTCTTTTGGTTCTTTGGGGCATACACTTAGGAGTAGAATTGCTGGGTCATAGGGTAGTTCTGTTTTGCTTTTTGAGGAATGGACCCCATAATTGTAAGCCAAGGTGTACAATTCACAGACTTAGAGACACAGCAGATGTGCCCTGTAAGTACTAGCTCCTGCTTGGAAGGACTTCAGACTATAGACTCTGGGTAGGACATGCCTGCGTTAAATGCCCAGCTCTCCACTTACTATAAGATGGATATGCTACCAAATCACATTAAGCCTCAGTTTCTTCATCTGTCAAACGCGCCCTCAACTCATAGGCTATTTGAGGTTGAGCAAGAATTTACATATGAATGTCAGTCCAATACCAGGTGCACATTAATCAGTCAGCCCATGCTAAGCTGCTGCTATCTTGCTACTTGGTAACCTAACAACACTGGAGCAGAAAGGGTCTCCCCCCTCAAAGTCCCTAGCCCAGCAGTAGGAAAGAGCAAAGATTTGCTAGTGGCAAGCACAAGACCTGGTAAAAAGCAGTCCAGAAGTTTTCAATCTACATCATAGATCCAGGAAGGCCTGAAAAACCTTGGCTGGAGACCTTGGCAAGAACACAGAGCTGAGAAGGTGATTGTAGGCCAAGGCCATCCTGCTCCAGGAATTGCATGGCGGCTGGACCCAGGTAAGCGCTTCTACCACTAGGGGCTCCCTCTGAGTCCAAACTTTCAGCACATGGAAGGATTATTGTTAAGTGCCATTGAGTTGGTTCCAACTCATAGTGACCCTGTATGGGGCTTCCAAGGAGCAGCTGGTGAGTTTGAACAGCCGTTCTTGTGGTTCAAACCAACAGTCTGATCTATGCCCGTGGATTCACCACCCAGCCTACAGGAGCCGATGGGAGCCTTGCTACTTCCTCCACTGAATTGTGCTGGGGGCTACAGAACAACAGATGAAGGGCCTCTCACCACAAAGGAGCCATCAATTTTTTTGTTTTGTTCCTATTTAATCATTTTGTCTGAAAATCATTTAGATTCTCTCTGCAATCCGTATAGCAACTTATCTATGGGACTCATCAGGTATCCTGAAGATATTCCTAATTTCAAGAACAACTTTTATCTGCAGGAAGAAAGAAAATCAGAATACGGCTGTGTCTAATTGCTAACGTGAACAAGTGCACCCTTTACCAGAAGAGCTGGATGGGACCCGGCTACCATTATTGAATCCTTGGATCAAAGATTCTTAGTCAAAAGGGAGAGAATGGAGCCATGGAGACTATACAAATCCCTGAAACTGAGATAATCTTTGAACCTGAGATCATCTTTAAACCAAAAGTACCCCCTAAAGTCTTAAAGCCAAACAATAGTTTAGCTTACCTAGTAAACAATGCCTGTCTTGAGCATTATGTCCTGTTAGATCTCCAGTGAGACCTGTGAATGTAGGGAACTGTTTTTCAAGGTCTTGCTAGTTTCCCACCTTTGATAGGGTGCAGTCTTACCACTTTGCCCTATTGCTTGTTTTAATGGAAAATATCTGAATTTTCAATCTCTGACAGACTTCCGCCTTATACAGGTTCTGGTTTTTGCAGGTTTTACTCTATCTATGTGGGAACAAATTAACAGCAGAACTTAAATCTTAGCTAGGAAACTTAGGGAAAAGGGAGTTTATCTCAGAAAAGAGGGGTGAAAATGATTGCACACCTCGAAGAATGCAATCACTGTACTTGTGGACATTGTTGGGTTGGTGTGTATTCTTCAGTGTGTGTTCTCAACCTTAAAAATACATTATAAAAAATCCTAACTTTTGGTTCCTCCAGTGGTGGGCAGAATGTGCATATTGGGAGATGTTGAGAGACCATATGAGGAATCAGCATGAGTGAGAAGCAGAGAGTGTGCACTGCAACGGGGGTCACGTAAGGATTCTGGAGATGGAGGCTAAAGGGTGAATCCCAGCTACAGAACGGAAGCTTCAGTTTCCTCACCTAAAATCAGGGGTGCTGGGCCTGCTTTGACAGGATTGTAAAGCTGAGGGGTACAATAATAAGAATAAAACATTTAACGAAGTTCTGGCACACAGTGGTGATATTCCATATATTAGATCAGTTCTAAACTCATGAATTCTGTACCAGGAAATACTTGATATTTGTGGACTATCTGGTGGAAGAGAGGGCAGGGCGGAGTTACAGACAGGCACTGTTTCCTGTGCTGAGGACTTCATTCTTTTTTGAGGGACATCACCTACATATCTTAAGCAAGGGGATGACACAGTCAAATGTACTTTATAGACAGATGATTCTGGAAGCCTGTATAGTGTCTGCCTGTATAGTGTCATTATCTCACACTGAGTGTTACTGAGCCAGGAGGCAGAAGAAGGTGCTGCCTGATGAAACAGAGGTTTATGTCATAATGCTCTGAAGTGGCTGGGCCTGAAGTCTGACCTCCAAGCCTATGCCTTTAACCATCACACAGCACACCGCAGAGAGCAACAGAAATATCTGGAGAAAGGCTTGTTTGCAAAATACCAGAGGAGTCAGGATCAAGCATGAGGTCTAGAGGCTGACTGTTAAGCTATTAAAGTCGCTTTTAGGAGCTACTTAAAAGGCTAATCTTAGAGATAGTCCAAGCTTAACCCTGATTCTTGCATTAAGGAAGAAGAAAAGTTGCTTCCATGTTAGTGCTCAGAATTATGGGGGGTGATGGAGACAAACAGGTAAGGTGAGGTCTTCAAGAGTTTTCAGAGAATGGCAGACCACCAGCTATAGCATTAGATGAGGCATACAGTTACAAGGATGGTGCTGATGAAGAAGAGTTTCCAGAGTATAAAAAACTGCCTGTCACAGGGTACTCAGGGACAGCCCTGAAAGTCAGGTGAGCTCTGGATGGGCCTGAGCTAATGGAAGAAGTCCAGCGGGAGCCACCACAGACAGGTCATAAGGAAAGCTGAGCCAAACACTACTGGAAAACCGTCTCAAAGTCTCAATTGCCCAATAAGGTTGATGGGAGTTGCTCCTACTGACCAGAATTCGATCTCACTTTCAGAATCCTGGGCTCACTGAGCCAGGCACCTGGAAATCAAACCTGAAGGACCCAGGATGCAGGTCTTCCACTTCCCAAGAGTGGAGGGCTTAGGTCTGCTCAGCCACCTCTCGTAGGAGGCTGTGAGTAGAATCCCACTCCTGGATACAGAGACCTGAGGCTGCCTTTGGAAGGCCTGTTCACCTGGTCAGATTCCAGCTGGAATGGACTGGGCAGTGATACAAACAATGAGTGGCAGTGAAAGCTTTTATCAAGCCATCACAGAGGCTCCTCTGAGGACATTAGTTGGATGAGTCCTAGGTTTGATGGCCAACACGCTTAGAGGTTCAGAGTGTCTGCTGGCTTCAAAGAGGCTGGTAGAGAGTCGGCACTGGGGCTAGTGCCAAAACAGAGCAAAGGGAGATCATCAGAACTGGATCTCCACCAGGAAAGGAGGGGAGGTAAAGCAAGGCCCAGCTTCCTACCAGGGAAGAAGGGAAGGGAAGAGATGCCTGGCTTCCCACTAGGGAAGG